AGGGAAAGTGGTGTGGAGCTGCTGGGCGGGGGCAACCTAGGAGCCTGAGACCCCACTCAGCTGCACAGGCCTGGCACACAGCCGGGGGGCAGCAAACGTTTGCTAACCAACCACTGGGACGCAAGGGCCAGACAGAACTCCGTGACAGGCCAGGCTAAGGCCTCAGAACTGGCCCTGCCAGGCAGGCCAGGAGGCCAGTAAGTCTGGGGGCTGTGGATTCCCTGCCGGCCTCGAGCCCTCCCCTGCCTACCATGTCCACTCTTTGCCCCTCCCTATATACTGAGCACCTACTATGTGCCTGGAGCTGCCACAGGATGCCATGAGCCAGCCACCCACCCCCACCACCCCTAGAGCCCAGCACCCCACACACCTCAGACTCAGAGGGTTTTCCCACCCATGAAGGCATCAAGTGGGAATCCCACCTCTGGTCGACAGCCGTGGATTACGGACAAGGCCTCTGGTGACCAGGAAAGGGCAATGCTGCCCAAAGTCACACAGCAAGCCGGTACTGCAGAGGCTGATCCAACGGCTGCCCAGACTTCAGGGCAGGGAGAATTCTGGCAGGTTCCTGAGCCCACCCCATCTGGGCTCTGGCAGGAGGTAAATAAAGGCAACATCTCAACAAGGTCACAAGGGCTGGGACAGACCGGGCACATGGTGCTGGGCCCAAGCAGTTGAGGGGCAATCTGAGAGGGCTCCCGGGAGGAGGTGAGGGACTTAGAGCCTCGCCTTGGCCTGAGCCCCTCAGCACTCCACCCCCTTCCTCGATGGGCCCCTCACCCATCAGCTTCAGTCTTAGCCTGACATTTCCCGTGACATTTGCTGCAAAGAAATAGAGCCATAAACCCAAAGGTTAAATTTGCACATTGCCTTGCTGCCAGGAGAGCACGGTCCCTCCACCCACCAGGTGCTTGGCTGCAGGATTTGTGTGGGATGGCCCACCCACCCTGGAGCCCTTGATGGACCCAGGCCCTCCAAAGGACCTCAGCCACTGTTTCCCAAAATAGGTTACTGGATACACTAGACCCTGAGTGTGTTACACAGGGGTGGTAAAGGAGCTCTGTCAGCACCTCTTAACCAGCCATTCCCAAATTCGCTTAACCACGAAACACCTGTCCAAGCCCCACCAACATTCCGTGGAACCTCAGTTCCATGGAGCATGATCTGTGATGGCGTTAGGCCAAAGAGCATCCCCCTGGGGCACCAGGAGGCTGCCTGAACAAAGCTGAGTCAGATCTTGACACCCCGGTTCCTCCACTGGGCTCCCCGTGTCACCATCAGCCCAGCTCCACGTGCCAGGGCCTGGCCGGGGCTCACCACCTGCCAGGCGCACCTGGGCCAGCCTTAGACAAGCACAGCTTCTCCCCAGGGCCCCTCCCCCTCTGGGAGGGTTTCCAACAGCCCTGCCCTTCAGCTCCACCTCCTGCCCTGGGTTGGCGGCGGGGGGCACTAGCAAGGCTGTAGGACTGGGACGCCAAGGCCCATTCTCTATCTCCAGGCAGGGAGAGGCAGCGGGCCCACTAGGAGACAGGACTGTCAGGACACTGCGGGGCTGGGGCGGAGGCTAAGTGAAGGGGGCAGGAGAGAGACAGTCCCAAAGTGCCGCCGCCGGCTGCACTAGGGCTGGACCAGCAGCAGAGCCGGAATCCTGATGAAGGCCAGGAAACAGATTCCACTTGTTTGTAGCAGAAATGCAACCCCAGGGGTGGGAGAGGCCCGAGGGCTCTGCCCCCTCCACTTAAAAGGTTGGGAAGGGTAGGGATCAGGCCCTGCCTCCTACTGGGGGAGGGGCATCTGACCACGCCCCCGGGGGACATAGCAGGGTTACACCAGGAACACTTCTCTGGTTGTCCAGCTGCACAAGCACAGGCAGTGTGAGAGGCCGAGGCAGGTTTGGATAAATAAATGATGGCGCATCCTCGGGAAGGGATTCCACACACACCCGCAAACCCATGATATACAAGAACAGTTTCCGACGTGCAAAATGTTTAAAATACAGCGACCAAAGAAGAAACTGCAGCACAAGACACCCGGCTGGGCCCACACAATCCAGCAACGGCACCAGGAGATGCAGGGGTGTGGATGCTGCTCTGGCTGGGCTGCCATTTTCAGCTCCATGGCCACCTGTCCTTTAAAGCATTTAGTCCTATTAACTCAGGTGGGCAAGGACCACATCCCTTCACCTGCCTGGCTCAGAGGGAGTCTGACAGGCCAGGAATAAGTGAGTGAGTGAGTGAATGAACAGGTGCCTGAAAGCAAACGTGGCATCTGGGAATGGACCGCTGGAAGGGGCAGGAGTAGGCGGGCCACAGAAGGTCAGGCAGCCCAGCCTAGGGGTCAGAGGTCAGAGCCCTGGGCACAGGGCAGCCTGAACCTCATTGACTGTGCAGGGCCAAGAGCCGTCAGGAACCCCAGGATGGGGCCCGGGGGCCAGAGTGCCACTCACACCTACTCCCCATGCTCACTGAGACCCCCATTCTCCCATTCCTTTGGCTCAGTTCACTGGTTCTCCATACTCCTGACCCCTCTCTGGATGCACAGACTGAGTCTCCACGGAGACTTTCTGGCTACAGGCCCAGGAGAGCAGGAAACACAGCCCTGGGGTGGTGGAGGGGTGAGTTCCTCCTGCCTCCACCAGCTGGGCCCCTCCTGGTGCTGCCCCAGCTGCCACAGGCCTCCATGCCACAAAGCCATGAATTCAAGGCCGGGGCAGGGAGCACTGAGGGGCAAGCCCAGCGTGCCAGCTGTCCTGGGGGCAGCGGAGGGAGGGTGAGGTTGGAGTCTAGAGAGTGGGGGTGGGGACAGCTGCACACATCGGGCCCCTCACCACCCGTCACTCACAATGAACAAGAGCAAACAAACCCTGGGTCCCACCACGGACCTGGGGCAGCCCTCAGCCTCCCCTGCCTTCCAGAGCCCGAGCACACCTCCTACGGACCCCCTACAAGCCCTCTTGGCTGTTGAGACCCCCCTGGGCCAGGCTCTCCTCCATGACCACAGGGAGAAAGCCACCTCTGACCTAAGGGCCCCCGGCTGACCGTTAGTCCTCACATAGGGAAACCAAGGGTCAGGGGTTCTGCAGGCTCCCAGCTGGTAAGGGGCAGAGTAAAGATGCTGCCCCAGTGTGGGGGACACATCGGTGGCCACTTCACACCTCCCGCAGGGCCCTCTCTCCCTCCCTGCCTCCCCACCTGCCCACCCCCTTCTCCAACTCCCCAGTGACCTCGATGGGCCTTTATTTCCCATCTGCAAATGGTTAGGAGGGAGGATCCAGCTGGCAGTGCGAGGGTTCCAGGGGGACTTCCCTGTGTGGGAACCATTGAGTGGGGCAGGGTGGTGATGTTTTCAGTATTTTGAAGGCAGAAGCACTGGGGTCAGAACCCTGTGGGGGCATCACCCTTTAAGTGTCCCCAACAACCCCTGAGGGAGGCCCAATTACTGACCATGTCACAGGTAAGGAGACTGAGGCATGGGTGAACTGCACACCCAAGGTCATACCACTGTCGGTGGCTGAGCCAGGACCCACATCCAGGCCCTTGTTCTCCTGCCACCCCACACCCAGGAATCAGGGTCTGTGAGCAGCCTTCTGCCTTGCAGGGACCTGGTTCCTTCCTCACCTCAACTGGAGCAGAAGTGGGAGCAGTGATGGTACCCACTTTAGAGATAGAAAGACTGAGGCTTAGAAAAGGGGAGTGGCCAGCCCCACTGCCCACCCCATCGTGGGACCCACCCCTCTGTTTCAAGACTATAAGGATGACCTACTTGTCGTCATTCTACAGACAAGGACACTGATGGGTGCGGGGGAGAGCAGGTGGTGTGGCCCTGCCTCTCTGAGACCTGGCCTGGGGTCCTCCTCACCACAGTGAGAGCAAGTCACCAATACCCTTACCTCAGACCTGCACACAGCACCTGAGGCAGCTGACACACCACAGAACCTCTCATCAAGAAGGCTCTCGCTGTGGAGACCCCCAGGCACCAGGGGCAGAGCTTTCCTGAGGTCACCCTGGGTCAGCCGTGGGGTGGGCATATACCTACCCTGAGCTGGACCTAGTGGCAGACTGCAGAGTATGCCGGGGCTCTGGCCTGTGTGTCACGGTGCTGACCTGGAGGTGTGAAATGGGCCTTCCCTGCCTAGGTGGGTCCCAGCCCCCATCAGCCACCACTGCCCCAGCCTGGGGGGAGGGGGAGGAATCAGACACTCCTTTGGCCTCACACCCTGGGCTGGGGCACTGGGCCCCCAACACACATTCCCTGGGCCTTTGCTACAGATTTGGGTGGAACCTGGCCACGGGCTGCCTGGGCACACAGGGGCACCCATGTCCGGAGGCAAAGAGACACATGCCGATATGCTCACAGGCACACACGGTCATGCGAACAGAGACACACGTGCAGACGCATACCGAGTTCACACACACACAGCCCCAGGCGGCTGGGAGGGGAGAATCCCGGACATGGGGGTCGGATCCTGTAGCCGGTTTCTCACCCTTCTGAGCGCCGGCTGCCCAGGGCCTCTCCCTTAACACATGTGCATGTAGGCACAAGAATGGGTCCCTCGGAGGGGACCCAGCATGCGCCAAGCGTGGAGACCACAGCAGGCACGCTATGTGCATGCATGGCCGTGGGCGAGCAGGCGGGGGCGAGGACATGGATGTGCACCCACAGCATGTGTGTGTGTACGCGTGCACACGGGGCAGCCTGGCATGCGTGTGCACATGTGGTGTGCAACTGTGCAGCCCTTGTAGACATGTGCACGTGCAAAGAAACGTGTGCAGCCTGCGGCACCTTGGAAATAAGCAGGGCACCCTGGGGCAAGGGGGGGTGGGGGGGACGAGGGGAGCACCCTCCAGGCAAGGCATGTCCAACTCCCCCTACAGGAAGTCACCCCCAGCACCTCACACCAGGTAGGGGGCAAGGGTCCCATGAGAGCTGCCAGGGAGGGGGTGCTTGGAGCCCCACCACCTCTGGTGCCCCTCAGCGGAGCCCGCAGGGGCTCTCAGGCACCCTCAGGCTGCGGATAGGGGGTGCTTGGCTGCGCCTCTCCTCGCCCGCCCCCTGGGGGGGACAGCTCTGGGCCAGCCCCGCCCCCCACGCCCTCTACTGTCGCCAACGCCCCCATTCATCCTGCTGCGGTCTAACCCCAGAAAAACCAGATGTCCTGAGCTGAGTCCTCGGGTCGAGGATGGAGGCGGCTGGACACCCCCCACCTCTGCTCGGTACCCGGGTTTCTTCAGACCTGCTCATTAACCCCTTCGCGGCCGGGCGATCAGAGGCAGGACCCCACCCTTCCAGCCAGCAGCCCCCACACGAGCCCCGCCGCCGCCGCCAACTTTCCAGGGAAGCGGCAACTTTTCCTGCTGCCGCGGGCTCCGCCCTCCCGGGGCCGGGCAGCATTGCGGTGGCCTCGCGGCCGCGCGGTAACCCTCCGCAGCCTCGGCAGCCCGGGCGCGCCCCGAGGCTCAGGGAGGGGCGCCCGGGTCCCCGCCCGCCGGCCGGCCCGGGTGCGGCACTCACCTCCGGCGGACGCCCTCTTCATCTTAGGGGTCGGGCAGGGCGCGTCGGGGACCGAAAGTCGCTCCGGGGCCGGCGCCCGTCTCCCCGCGGCCGGGTCCGCATCCAGGCGCCGCAGCTCCGGCCCGGCCCCGGCCCGGCCGCGGGACGAGGCTGCACGCTCCGCCCGGTCGGCTGGGCTGGCGGG